CAACTCCAGGTTGGGAAATTCCTGAAGATTTGGGGGCAGAGCCTGACAAGGCTGAAGTTTGGAGAGGAGGAGGAGGAGGAGAAGAAGAAGGAGAAGAAGAGGAGGAGGAGGACGAGAAGATTGGATTTATACCCCGCCCTTCACTTGGAGTCTCAGAGCAGCTTGCAATCTCCTTCCCTTCCTCTCCCCACAACAGACACCCTGTGAGGTAGGTGGGGCTGAGTGAGAGAACTACCCTTGAGAGAACAGCTCTGAAAGAACTTATGACTGACCCAAGGTCACACCAGCAGCTGCATGTGGAAGAGTGGGGAATCGAACCCGGTTCTCCCAGATTAGAGTCCGCACTCCTAACTCGGCAGAGATGTGATGCCATTGGAGTCCACCCTCCAATGCTGCCATTTTCTCCAAGGGACCTTATAGAGTTGCCAACCTCTAGGTGGCAACTGGAAATCTCCCACCGTTACAATTGATCTCCAGGCGGCCCGAATGCAGTTCTCCCGGAGAAAACGGCAACTTTGGAGGGTGGGATTTATGGCATCATACCCTGTCGAGGCCCCTCCTCTCCCCAAACCCTGCCCTCTCCAGGCGCCACCCCCCCAAATCTCCAGGTATTTTCCAGCCCAGATCTGGCAACCCTGGGAACTGATCTTAAATTTGGAGATCTGTTGTAATTCTGCGGAAACTCCAGGCCCCACCTGGACAGTGACAACACTTCACCCCCCCCCAGGTGCTCCTTCCACACACACACACACACACACCAGTCTGCATCATGTGGTCAGACCAGCTGTACATACATACCTCAGCAGGCAACGGTTCCCCGAGACACATTCCCCCAAGCACCGGCCAACATCGATTTCCTGTAAGATTTGCAAGACAAAGAGCAGGAAAAGAATGACTGGCGCTTCCCCACTGGGCAAAACAGCCAGAAATCCGAGGAAACCCCCTACTGGTTACCAGCTGTGGTCTGTGTGGTCCTTACTGGTCTCAGTTATAGAAACAACCAGGGACACGTTTCATATATAATGCAATAGATACTATATTGAAATTCTATACAAAGTGTAAATTAATTTTTAAAGTGCTTAATTCATACATTTATAAAATACCACCTATTAATTCATACATAAGAATCTCAAAGGAGCTGCGGTGGCTCAAGTCATTAAGACGCTGAACTGCAGGCTGTGGAAGGTTGGTAGTTCAGCAGTTCGAGACCCAAGTGCCGCATGACGGAGTGAGCTCCCATCTCTAGTTCCAGCTCCTGCCAACCTAGCCGTTCGAAAGCAAGAAATTGCAAGTAGATAAATAGGTACCACTTTGGTGGGAAGGTAACAGCGTTCTGTGCGCCTTAGCGTTTAGTCATGCCGGCCACATGACCACGGAAACGTCTTTGGACAGCGCTGGCTCTTCTGATTATCAAAGCTTATGTTCCGAATAGGAAACAATAACCTTCACATCAGGCTCCAATCCAGTCTGCTGCACGCTATGAAATGCTAGAATGCCTTTACCTAGGGGCCTTACTGGTCTAAGACAACTCCACATCCAAGCCGAACGGCTGGAAGACGGGCCGGCCCGCAATGTAAAGGCTAAACTTTTGAAAGGTATTATTTTGCCGCAATCCAGAAGAGGTAGCCGTGCTGGTCGGTTGCCACCTAGAGAGCTCAAGACCTTGCCGCACCTCGAAAGCCACAGATTGACTGTGGAACAACATTTGCTAACACCTTAGTAAAGGGAAAGGTTTCCCTTGCTTGAAAGCCGGTCGAATCCGACTCTAGGGATGCGGTGCTCATCTCCGTTTCCAAGCCGAAGAGCCAGCGCTGTCCAAAGACGTTCCCGCGGTCATGTGGCCGGCGTGACTAGACGCCCAGGCGCACGGAACGCTGTTACCTTCCCACCAAAGTGGTGCCTATTTATCTACTTGCACTTTCTTGCTTTTGAACTGCTAGGTTGGCAGGAGCTGGGGACGGAGACGGGAGCTCACTCCGTCACACGGGGCACTCGGGTCTCGGACTGCCGAGCTACCGACCTTCCGGTCTTGCAGCTCCGCATCTTAACCCCTTGAGCCACCGCAGCCCTTCACGGTAACACCTTAGAGACCAATAATCTATTTTTTCCGAGGGCAGAAGCTTTTATGAGTCAAAGCTCACTTCATCAGATATGAGCAGGGCTGAAGATCTATTTGCATTTATATCCAGGCCAGAAAGTGGGTGGGGAGTAGAAGGAAGAGCAAGTGGTAATCAGGATGCAGAGGCACAGGTATGGTGGCCAACCTCCAGGTGGCAGCTGGAGATCTCCTGGGATTGACCTCCAGGCAACATTGAGCAGTTGGAAGGTGGACTTTGCAGCATTCTATCCCACTGAAGTCCCTCTCCGCTCCCCAAAAACCCACCCTTCTCAGGCTCCACCCCCAAAATCTCCAGGTATTTCCCAGCTTGAAGCTGGCAACCCTAAAGTAAAATAAATCTGTGATTTAGCTTGCAGGCCAGAGAGACCCTTTCGTTGGATACTTTTCTGCAGGGCTTTTTTTTTTTAGAAAAAGCCCAGCAGGAACTCATTAGCATAATAGGCCACACCCAACAGCAGAAACACATTGGCATATTAGGCCACACCCCTGACAGCACAGCTCATTGGCATATTAGGCCACACCCCCATGTTACCAGAAGTGCGCTCATCCAGCCACATCCACCTTTTGCTTCTTATTCTGTTTACCTTGTTTGTTGTCAAAACCCAGGGCTTTTTTGGTAAAAGAAACTCCTTTGCATGTTAGGCCACACCCCTGACAGCACAGCTCATTAGCATATTAGGCCACACACCCCATGCCTTCCCTTGGCTTGCCCTCCCCAATCCTTCCAGGGGCCCCCCTGGCCCGCCCTCCTCAGAATTGCCTGGGGGTGTGTGTCGCTCTCCAGGCCTTCCCTCTGTAGCCACACACGCGCCGAGGTTTTTGGCTGTAGTGGGCGTGGCCAACTCTGAAGCCAGCCGGAACCCCATTCCTGTGCGTTCCTGCCCCCCAAATAGCCCTGGTTTTGTGTGTTCAGGACACACCCACCCCTAATCTCCACTGCGTACACCTGTCAAAATGGGTCCCCAAAAGGTTTCAGCCGGGGTAAAATGGTTAGGCTCTAAGATGCCACAGAGTTCTTTTCTTATTTTGCCGCATGGCCACTGGCTTTAAAGGGGGATTGGACGGATTGGCGAGGGAAGGTAGTCACACGGATCACTATTAGCCATGATAACAAAGTGGAACATCCACCTTCAGAGGTGATCTACGAGACGCAGGGATGCGAATGTTACGTTCATGCCCGGTCTGAGGGCTTCTCGTGAGGTATCGGGTTGGTCAATGTTTGAAACGGCATGCTGGACCACACGGACTTCTGGAGTGTCTATCTAGTGGGAGTCTTCTCGTGTCCATCACCGCATTCTACAGACATGGAGAATCAAAATACTCCTTCATTTGGAGTACTGTGTACAGTTCTGGTCACCACACCTCAAAAAGGACATTATAGCGTTGGGAAAAGTGTGGAAAAGGGCAACTAGAATTCTAAAAGGGTTGAAACAGTTTCCCTATGAAGAAAGGTTAAAGCGCTTGGGGCTCTTTAGCTTGGAGAAACGACGGCTGAGGGGTGACATGACTGAGGTTTACAAGATTATGCATGGGATAGAGCAGGTCGAGCAAGAAGTCCTTTTCTCCCTTTCTCACAATACAAGAACTTGTGGACACTCCATGAAATTGCTGAGCAGTACTTCTTCGCCCAAAGTGTGATTAACACATGGAATGCACTGCCACAGGAGGAGGTGACAGCTACAAGCACGCAGTTCCCCAGGCTATGAACATGCTAATGGAGGAGCTTTTTAATAGCCTGGGGAACTCCTACAAGATAATGACTCAGCCCTACCCCACCTTCCTGAGTAGATATAAATCACCCGGCTACTATTTTTCTCCTCACCACGACACGGAGAGTACTCCATCTTTCTGTGTTATACCTCTGAGGATGCCAGTCACAGCTGCTGGCGAAACGTCAGGTCCCAGAATGCTAAGACCATGGCCACACAACCTGGAAAATCTACAGCAACTCATGAACTCTGGCTGGGAAAGCTTTCGAAAACATATATGTTTGCTGCTTATAGAGGAAATATATATATATATTTTAAAGGCAGAAGGTAACCAGAGCTAGCCAACTGACCTTCAAGCGCTCCTGCCTTTTCCCGGCGGAGTTGAGTCGGACTTCGAAGTAATATTCCCAATGGGAGACACGGTAGCAAGACTCTCTCAGCTCACAGCTCTCCAGGGTCTGGACCACATCATTCCCGTTGGGACTTTTCAGCAGAGCCACATCAAAGCGTATGGGCACGCAGAGCAGCCCGTCTGAAACGACAACCAGGGTCACTTTTTCTCACCATCCCAGGCAAGGTGGGATTCGGGCCTGTTCTAGGGAGGGTTGCCATCAGATCTCCAGCTAGGGTTGCCGCTGCAGTCTTCCCTCCAAGCTGAGTTGGGGCGAGCTAGCTCACAGTGTTTTAGCCTCCGGCTCACACGTCTTCGACCGATTTCCCACAAGCCGCTGCTCCACGTTGGCTCTTCCCTTTGCCCTGATCGTACATGTCCAGGGGTCATTTCCTGCAGGAGCACACAGGAGCGGAGCTCCGGCAGTAAAGAGCCCAGGGGGCGGGCACATGCAACAAGCCCCACCCCCCGCTCCCAGCAGCCCTCAGTCAGAGCAAGAAGCAGCCAGGTAGGTTGAAGAGCTCCCACCGGCCCCCTGGTCCAAGACAGCCCGGTGGCACTTTTAAGACCAGGTTTTATTCAGGTACAAGCTCTCCCTTTCTTGAAGGACATACTGCCCCTTTCCCCCCCCCCCCAATAGCTAGCAATCCAAAACAGTCCAGTGGAGCCTGAGTGGTGGGTGTTGCCTTCTGACACACTGCCGGTGATGTCAGGGGGCGTGGCATATGCAAATAAGTTATGCTAATGAATTATGCTAATGAGCTCCTGCACCTCTTTTTCTACGAAATGACCCCTGTACGTGTCAATTTCGCACTGAGTGCTGCGCGGCCACATTTTGCCCCGCAGCTCTGCCTGATTTCCCCCCGCGTCTATGCAAGGAAATTGGGGAAATCGGAGGAAACTGGGTGAAGCTGCGGGGCAAAATGCGGCCGCGCAGCACTTACTGTGAAATTGACATGTACGATCGGGGCAAAGGGAAGAGCGAGCACGGAGCAGCGGCTTGTGGGAAATTGGTCTTTTTGTCTTCGCTCAGGCAGGGATGGCTCCAGAGCAAACTAATTTATACAGCAGTCAAATTGCTTGCTCACAGGGGTCATCTTGTAGAAAAAGAGGTGCAGGAGCTCATTAGCATAACTCATTAGCGTAACTCATTTGCATATGCCACACCCCCTGACATCACCGGAAGTGTGTCAGAAGGCAACACCCGCCGCTCAGGCGCCACTGGACTGTTTTGGATTGCTAGCTATTGGGTGGGGGGAACATGCAGATCTGTCTTCACAGAGGAGGGAGAGCTTGTACCTGAATAAAACTTGGTCTTAAAGGTGCCACTGGACTGTTTTGGATTGCTAGCTATGGG